GCGGGTCCTGGGCCTGCGTTGCTTGCGAAGAAGTCGATGGGAGTGTTGCCAAAGAAGGCAGCGGAGCCTGGCGCGAAGGCGGCGCCAGAAGCGGGTTTGAAGCCTGGGGAGGGCGAGTCAGCGGCGAAGGCAGCAGAAGGCGCCGATGCGAAGAGCGTGCCTGGCGTCGATGCGAAGGCCGGACCCGTTGCGTCGTCTAAGGCGGGGCCTGGCGGTGCGTTGCTGACGAAGAAGTCGATGGGTGTGTTGCCAAAGAAGGCAGCAGAGCCTGGCGCGAAGTCGGCGGCGGAAGCGGGTTTGAAGCCGGGAGAGGGCGAGCGTCGCCGCTTCCGTCGTCTTCCGCGGCTACGCTTCTCGCACGGACCGCAGCTACGCTTCCGGCCTGGACAACGCAGCAGCTTCCGCCCCGGACTCGGACGCAACGACTGCTTCTTCAGCTACCCTCACAACGGTTTCTTCCGTCGCCTCGGACCGCGCTTCAGCCGCCGCCTTCGCCCAAACTTCGGTCCCCTCCGCGAGTCAGCGGCGAAGGCAGCAGAAGGCGCCGATGCGAAGAGCGTGTCTGGCGTCGATGCCAAGAGTGGACCTGTTGCGTCGTCGAAGGCGGGTCCTGACCCTGCGTTGCTGACGAAGAAGTCGATGGGTGTGTTGCCAAAGAAGGCAGCAGAGCCTGGCGCGAAGTCGGCGGCGGATGCCAAAGAAGGCAGCGGAGCCTGGCGCGAAGTCGGCGGCGGAAGCGGGTTTGAAGGCCAGGGGAGGGCGAGTCAGCGGCGAAGGCAGCAGAAGGCGCCGATGCGAAGAGCGTGCCTGGCGTCGATGCGAAGGCCGGACCCGTTGCGTCGTCTAAGGCGGGGCCTGGCGGACGCAACGACTGCTTCTTCAGCTACCCTCACAACGGTTTCTTCCGTCGTCTCGGACCGCGCTTCCGCCGCCGCCTTCGCCCAAACTTCGGTCCTCTCCCGCTCGGTCTCCGCTTCCGTCGTCTTCCGCGGTTACGCTTCTCGCACGGACCGCAGCTACGCTTCCGGCCTGGACAACGCAGCAGCTTCCGCCCAGGACCCGGACGCAACGACTGCTTCTTCAGCTACCCTCACAACGGTTTCTTCCGTCGTCTCGGACCGCGCTTCCGCCGCCGCCTTCGCCCAAACTTCGGTCCTCTCCCGCTCGGTCTCCGCTTCCGTCGTCTTCCGCGGTTACGCTTCTCGCACGGACCGCAGCTACGCTTCCGGCCTGCTGTTGCGTCGTCGAAGGCGGGTCCTGGGCCTGCGTTGCTTGCGAAGAAGTCGATGGGAGTGTTGCCAAAGAAGGCAGCGGAGCCTGGCGCGAAGGCGAAGGCGGAATTAGGCGGCGCCGATGCGAAGAGCGTGCCTGGCGTCGATGCGAAGGCCGGACCTGTTGCGTCGTCGAAGGCGGGTCCTGGGCCTGCGTTG